ACCAAACTTGCAGATGATGCCTGATGTGGATGAAACAGGAGAGGGAAAAAAAAAAAAAAAAAGAAAGGTCATTACTCCTCATTAGCCATCAAACACCTTGTGGCTTTAGCAAGTTCCAGAAAAGACAAACACTCACCCAGACCATGCGGCGACGACTGAATGGTGCACACAGCTAATTACACGTCACGAGTCTAATCTCGATGGACTCAGATCGAGACACAAAAAAATAGAAAAAAATAGTGAGAGGCTACCACCTTCGCATACAATAAAAAGAAAGAAAGGCAAACACTCCACCCACGTCAGATATATATTATCTATTATATGATCGATATATATTCACGGGTCATTCCATCACGATCGCCATGTCATGAAAAAGAAGCAGCAATTATCACATGCCGACAGCGTAGTGTAGCACAGGGAAAGGGAGGCTGCCAGGCCTGTGACTGTGCCAGATGGAATAGCACAAACCTGGCTCAGATTTAGACTAAGTTCACTCGTACTTACCGTATTCCCCTGAATAGAACATACGGTTATTATAGAAGTACATATTTGGCTCACCTTTTAGTCCAGATGCAGCAGAATGACTGTACGTTCTATTCGAAGGAAGAAGGTAGTTGAGGTTGTTCAGCATTCTATAAGACTTACAGCACTGCAACAGATGGAATAGCACACATGCACCTGGCCAAGAATTAGACCAAATTCATTCATGCTTAGTTTAGGCTGTTCAGCATTCTGTAGATTGGCAGCAACTGACTGTTGCGATGAACCGGAACTAATGGTCGGTCACTTACTAATGTTATTATTATGTTATACAATTATCTTTATTTATTTATTTATTTATTATTTAGTAGCTTTACAACTTCTTAACTTCTTATTACATCAAAAAATGGAAAATTGGAACATCGGGTATCCTGTCCCTTATTTATGGGATTGTACAGAAAAGTAGGAGATAGACTAAGGATGAGATTCCCCCTTTTCTCACCTCTGTGTCCAGGTCCATTATTGCAAGTAACAGCTTATCAAGAACTTCCTGATTGCTTGGTGCTGGGCGCCGCTTCATGCATTTTACTGCCTTATCCTTGAGGCCATCCAGAGCCTGAAAGAACAGTTCAATCAAGAAACACAATGAGCTGCAGGCATACAAGTCTAATACTCATTTATTTGTTTATTTATTTATTTTCATTTATTTACTAGGCTACCAGAGTGGCCCGGGGTCACTTGCCCGGCCGGGCCAAAAAAAATAAAAAAATAAAAAAATACAAAAATATTTTTACATTTTTTTTTTTTCAAATTTGGTGAAGAATTTTGATGTGACCCTGAGGCAAAAGTTGTTCA